TAGGAGGCCTTGTGATAGGGAAAGAAAAATTTTGGTCAATATCATACGCGTATGACGTGGTGTTAATGGCGACAAGAGAGGCAGAATTGAAAGAGATGATGAGAAGGTTCAAGAGGTATTTGAAAGGGAAAGGCTTGAGTTTGAGTTCGGAGAAATCAAAAATAATGGTGTTCGAGAAAGCGAGGGGAAGAAGAAAGAAAAGGGAATGGAAGTGGGGAGAGGAAGAAATAGAGGAGGTTAAGGAAATAAAGTACTTGGGATATATACTACAGAAAAACGGGGGGGCGGAGAATCATATAAAAGATAGGATGAAGAAGGCGACAATAGCGATGAAGAGGACATGGAGCATAGGAGAGAGAATATTTAAGGAAGACTTTAAAAGAAGAATGAAGATGTTCGAGTCACTGGTAGAAAGCGTGGCATTGTACGGAGCTGAAATATGGGGATGGCTACACGAAAGCAGATTAGATGTAATAAAAAGAAAGTACGTTAAATGGATCTTAGGCTTGGATAGGAGAACCCCGAATTACATAATATCAGAAGAAGCCAAAATAAAGGAGATCAAAATGAGAGCAATAAGAAGAGCCGCAAGGTATGAAGAGAAGGCAAGGCAGTCAGAGAAGAAAGTAGTCAAAGCATGTATAAAGGATTTAGAGAAGAACAGACCGAGGAAAGAAGAAAGTAACTGGGAAAAGAAGAGGAGAGAATTGATGGAGAGAGCAGGAATGGAGAAGAAGCAGCTGAGGAGAGAGATGGAGGCAGGGGAGGCGGCGGAAGGGTTAGTAGAGAGAATGGAGGGAAAGGAGAGAGAGGAGAGGAGGATAAAGATATACGAATCAAGATACAATAGTAAATATAAAGAGATTTTAACAGAGGAGTTACCAAAATATTTACAAGGAAAGAGGAAGAAAAAGGATAGAATGTTGATAGCCAGGTACAGATGCGGGAGCGAGGTGAAAGGCAGTGAACATTGGAGAGAGGAAGAGGATAGAAGATGTAGAATATGCCAAAGAGAGGAGGAGAACATAGAACATATATTAAAAGAATGTGAGGCGACGAAAAGCAAGATACAGTTAGAAGAATTTTTAGGAGAGGAGGGGAAAGGACTAGAAGTAATGAAATGGATAGGAAGGGTTAGAGAAGAGCTGGAGAAAGAGGAGGGGATTGAGGGAGAAGAGTAAGAAGGGAAATGCAAGGACAGTCAGAATGTTGAGTTAGTTGGAGCTAGTTAGGATGATATAAGAAGGTATAATGTATATATGTAAATGAAGGTTATATGTGTAAATGTATTATGCGTTTGTAAAATTATGTATGGGTGGATGCAAGTCATCCTAAGCCGCAAGGCAAGGATTAAAATAAAATAATAATAATAATAATAATAATATAAAATAATTGTGAAACAACCTAAAATAAAAACCATGTAAAAAATATTTTTTATATACATATATGTCGCAAATGACTAATCAATATGAAATAAATGTAAAATAAGTATAAAATAAACATTTTTTAACCGTTTATTCAACATATGGATTTTAAACATAAAATAAATGTTTTTTAAATGTTTAATAAAAGTTTTTTTAATAAACGTTTTACGTAATAAAAATTTGCAAATGTATCTAAATATGCTAAAATAAATATATCTAAAGATGATAAAACTAAAGCCCAAACGTGGACAAAAATTGGATGTCCATAAGATGTCCCGTAAAGGATATCCGTTCAAGGTACGACAATAGACATCCGTTAAATGTCCATTTCACGTCCACGGACGTTCGGACGTAAATTGGACTTAAACTGGACGTCCACAGGACATCCTGTGCTATCTGGGAGCTTCGTCCGCTCAATCAACCTGTGGTTCGTCGGTCACGCCCTCGAACTGAAGAGACGGTGCAATCGTCGAGACCCGCTCACACGTCTGCTCACCCTGCTCAACATTACTCGCCACAGCCTTGGCACTGATCAGCTTATCCACCACTCATTACTCAGCGCGTCTACTCATTGACGCAGGCTCAGAACTCACCTTCGTCACGGAGAATCTCATTTGGCAGCTCAACATCCCTCGTCAATACTCAAGTATTGTCGTCACTGGAATTACAGGCAAGGAGTGTACTCAGACACGAGGAGTCGTGTCACTTACGTTACGCTCGACACATTCCAACTCAAATGCCACAGTTCAAGCTCATGTCCTCCGGACAGTTACATCAATCGTACCATATTTCGAAGCAGAACCGGAAGAATGGCCGCATCTCAGAAACTTGGCATTAGCCGATCCAGACTGTCTCATCCCGCGGCCTGTTGACATCCTCATCGGAGCAGACGCTTACGGGCAAATCATCAAGCCCAATATTATTAGGCATTCTCCACTCATGCCGATAGCGCAACTCTCCATTTTCGGATGGCTCGTTCTTGGACCAGTCAACAGAGAAGCAAGACGCACATCAACGCATCATGCTGCTACTCAATTCAACGAGGATGCTCTTAATGAGCTATTGACGAAATTTTGGATTCAAGAGGAGGTGCCTACTCACGATGTCACTCAGTTCACTCCTGACGAGCAGAGGTGCGAGAAGCACTTCAAGACTACACGACTCTCATGCTTCTTCAGAGAGGTACATCGTCAGGATTCTACTTAACTCACCAGTAGATCTTTTGGGTGATTCTTACAACGTCGCTCATCAATGTCTGAAGGGATTACGCAGACGATTCTCAAGAGATGTGAATTATCAACGTCTCTATCAACAATTCATGATTGACTACGAGACACTCAACCACATGACGAAGGCATCATCCATCTCCAGTCATCGCTCACATTTTCACCTGCCACATCACGGTGTTCTCAAGCCGGACAGTATTATAACGAAACTGCAGGTAGTTTTTAATGGCTCTAGCGCATCCACATCAGGCTACTCGGTCAACGACCTCATGTACACTGGAGCAAAGCTACATCTGAACATCTCAGATGTTCTACCATGGATACGTAGACATCGTTACATTTTCGCTATGGACATCACCAAAATGGACAGATCGATTCAGATTCACAAGGATGACTGGGAGTTACAGCGGGATACTCTGGATGGACAATCAGCTCAATGAGGTGCCATATCATTCAACAACGGTCACTTACGGGACGAAGGTCGCACCATTCTCAGCCGTACGGACCTTGTTACAATTAGCAGAAGACGAAGGACATAGTTTCCCACTGGCTGTGCCAGCTATCACTCACGGCAGATATGTCGATGACATATTTGGTGGTGCAGATACCGTGCAACAATTACAGGAGGTTGCACCTCAACTAAGGGACCTCTGCATGGCGGGCGGCTTTCCGCTAGCAAAATGGCATGCAACTCATCTCGACATACTCAAGACTGTCACCGACAGCCAAGACCAAGGCTTACCAATCACCTTCGACGATTGCGCAACCAAGGTACTCGGACTCAAATGGCTCCCTCAAGAAGATACATTTGCATTCTCAACTAGGAACTCACGCACTGAAGGCAGACTCACAAAACGCCTCGTCTTATCTGAAGTGGCTCAGATGAAGTGACTCGATCCACTTGGTTTTGCATCACCCGTCGTGATCAAGGCCAAAATTCTCTTGCAGGAGCTATGGCTGCACAAGCTCCAATGGGATGACCCACTGACATCCCAGCTTTCAACCCGGTGGCTCATCCGCAGAGAAGAACTCATAGGCTTGGCCAAGCTCTCGATACCTAGATGGTTCAACACTTGGAGCACCTCTTCTGTGGAACTGCAAGGCTTCTCTGACGCTTCTCAATTAGCAATGACTGCAGTCGTGTACATCTCCGTTCACGACTCAACTGGATCCACGTCTTCACTTGGGTGCTCCAAAACTAAGGTAGCACCTCTCAAGAGGCTCTCAATCCCTCGACTTGAACTCACGACTGCTCTACTGCTCTCTCGACTCATGCAATACGTCAAAGCCACTTTAAACATGGACGTAACGGCAACTCACCTGTGGACGGAATCTCTAGTGACACTCTCATGGATCAGATCTCATGCATCACGCTGGAAGGATTTTGTCAGAAACAGGGTGGCTCAAATTGAAGAACTCACTCCAGCTGCTCACTGGAGATACATACCTGGAACTTCCAATTCGGCTGATTGCGCATCACAAGGCCTCACGACTGCTCAGCTTCAAAACCACTCACTTTGGTGGACGGGACCACCATGGATACTCAATCCAGACTTATGGCCGTCGCAACCAGCACTCTCCGAAGAGTTGAGTGCAACAGAAGTTCACCCAGGCGTTTCGCTATTGACGGTTACGCCAAGGACTGATTCTCAATGGGAACTCATCTACAGGTACTCAAGCCTCACTAAACTATTGAGGATTACAGCTCTCTGTTTCAGATTCGTCTCACGGTTGAGGAAGGTCCACGACTCATTGCCTGTTAGACACATCTCTCCAGAGACCTTGGAGAAAGCGAGGCTCTTCTGGATTCAGGCAGCTCAAGCAACGTACCTCTCTCACGAGCTCAAGGCGCTACAAGCAGACTCACCGTTGGCAAAGGCACACGCATTCAACCGATTAACTGCGTACATCGACGCTCAAGGAGTCATTCGCGTCGGCGGACGACTCGCTCACGCAGTTCTTTGACTCGATGCGAAACATCCTACAATTTGCCTCGTTACTCTCAGCTATCATCATTGATCATCGCTCACGCTCATCAACGGACTCTACATGGAGGCACGCAGCTTACGCTGTCGCACATCCGACAACAGTACTGGATTCTCGGCGGAAGGGCTCCTGTCAAGTCTTACATTCTGCGGTGTGTCACGTGTGCTCGGCAGAGGGGGATCCGTGCTCATCAACTGATGGGCCAACTACCCTTCTCTCGGGTTACGCAGACACGACCGTTCACTTATACAGGTGTGGACTACGCAGGGCCACTCACCGTCAAAACGTGGAAAGGAAGAGGTGCCAAGACCACTAAAGGCTGGATTTACGTCTTTGTCTGCTTCTCAACTTCAGCAGTACACCTAGAGGCGGTCAGTGACTACTCATCCGAAGGGTTCATTGCCGCCCATCGACGCTTCTCATCCAGACGCGGCATTGCTCACACCTCACAATCAAACTGCGGCACCAATTTCATCGACGCGGATACAGTTCTCAAAAGGCTGTTTATCCAGAGCACTCAAAACCATCAACGCATTTCTCAACTGCTCTCGCAAGACAACACCCGATGGGAGTTCAATCTCCCAGCGACACCTCACAGGGGAGGAAAATGGGAGGCCGTCGTAAAACCAAAAGTATCACCTACGGCGCACTATTGGAGAAGGCGTGCTCACCTTTGAGGAGCTCACCACATTGCTCACTCAAATTGAGGCAATTCTCAACTCGCGACCTCTCGAACCATTGAGTGACGACTCAGAAGACATCTCAGCACTCACGCCAGGTCACTTCCTCGTAGGAAGCCCCCTCACCGCCATACCAGAGCCATCACTCACTGACCTGGCCATCTCAAGACTCTCACGATGGCAACTCATCCAGCAAAAGGCACCATAGGAACAACGAGATCAAGATCGGATCATTGGTGCTCATCACCGACGAGCGGCTACCACCATGCAAATGGCCGTTAGCCCGGATAACAGCCCTACATCCTGGGAAGGATGGACTCGTGCGGGTGGTGACTTTGAAGACAGCCACTACCACTCTCATCCGACCACTCTCATTGACAGTGATCAAGCTCTCCGTCCTGCCAATCTCATCATAAGATCAGGGATTATCAACATCGTTGCTGATGGCGGGCGGAATGTTCGAGATTAATTTGAATCTCGTTTATTTCATCCCCGGCGTGATGGCAGCATCAGCCGGGTCAGATCGTGCAGCGCCGCATGAGCGCTGCTCGCGCATGCCCGATCGCGACACGAGGCGACCGCGCGACTTCACGTACGTTTCCGGGGCTTTTTGTCTCATGGCGACCGTACGTAGTACACGCGTCTTGAAGTGCGGATAGTTATCCAGTGCTCTTTTGTGGACTTTCTCATCTTCTCACCGTCTCACTTTCTCATCTGCTCATCCGAGAATAGACTCAGTGAAAGACACAGTGAATCCATCAGTGCGGCTCATCCCGGACAGCTCGAGTACAGCATCAACGGCGGCTCAGACTCACCACGCACCGCGCACGCCGGCGCCGCGTGGACACGGCTCACGGGCATCAACTCACCAGGCCGGCCATCGATCAATAATATCGATCCGTGCACGTGAATACAGACTTATCATACCGAATTGACTTGTATCGACTTCTCAGATCTCACATTTACAGACTTTTACATTTGCCGAAACTTTCACATGTAATTCGTTAAAGTATTAAACCTGTGACATTTCATTTTACATCAACTCGTCCGAGTCTTTAGATCACGTGATGTTCCACCCTAATTAAGCGTGCATTCGCTCCTTGAGTCTTGTCGCTACGTCCTCTCACCCTGCTTCCATCCGCAGCGATACCAGCGAACTCTCCTAGCGAGAATCGCTAACATAGAAACATGATTATTTTTTATCGCAAGATTACTCAAATAAAACAAAATACGAATTACCTTCCCGAATTCAATGAAGATTGTGCCTTTGCAATGCGTTTGTCACGGTTCATGTTATATTGGGTTCGTGGTCTCCTTACACCATGTTCTTCTACCAATCTCGCAATATTTATTTCTTGATCGGTGATCAAACTAGTTAAATTGTCTGTAAAAATCATATCATTTAAAAAATATATTTATGCGGTAATGTACAAAAGCCGTGATAATAACAAACAGTACATACGAAGAAATTTCCAAATATTGGGATGAATTCCAAATTTGCGAAAAATTGCAAAATGGAAACTCTCTACGAAGTTATTCATCCGTATGGATGTACCGAAAACGGAGACTTTATCTTTCAAAGGTAGCCAAGTACGTCTCAAATAAACAATAAATTGCAACACAGAGGGATATTCCGCCGATAACGTATCGGCTTCTTCTTGAAGTATTTGTAATCCTTGCTCGAACATATTAGCCGGAGCCAACGGTAAGGCCATGGTAAGACCGAGAATCTTCCTTGGTGCTGCTGTTAATCGAAGGGCCTTCCAACGTCTTAATACGGCCTATATAAAAATAATATTGAATGTAAACTAACAAACATACGAGTGAAAAAAGCTCCCAAGGTTACTAAATGTTTCCATTTTCGATATTATAGAAAATCTATCACGAGACACGGTAGTGTCTCGCGCCAAGTGTAAGCGAAGCTAGTACCACGCGCGCGAGACCGACCGTGTAAGTTTACGCGAGTACACGACTTGACGGGCCCTCAGATTTTATTTTTCTCAACAATGGCTGATCCCACGAACTTGAGACTGCGCTTAATCGACAGCTTGGGTACGATTTGCATAATAAAACTATTTTTACTTTTTTCCTACGTGCCCCATGAGTAGAGATATTGCAAAGCAAAGTCCACGGGTCGGAATTTTCACGTAATTTTTGTTAAGAAACGTCGTCGTCGTCGTCGTCGTCGTCGTCGTCGTGGTCAACCAGGCCAAAGTCCATCTCACTTTTCTGCCGCAACGTGGCATTGGCACTGCTGTCGCGTATCTCACGTAGCGTCTCGCGCCAAGTTTGAATAAGTCTAGGTGTATTAATATCCGCGTTTCCGCATCCCCGCGCGTCTTTTCCGCGTTTCCGCATCCCCGCACGTCTTTTCCGCGTTTCCGCGTCTCCGCGTGTCTTTTCCGCGTTTCCGCAGCCCCGCGCGTCTTTTCCGCGTTTCCGCGTCTTTGCGCGTATTTTCCGCGTCTTTTCCGCATTTCCGCATCTCCGCACGTCTTTTCCGCGTTTCTGCGTCTTTGCGCGTTTTTTCCGCGTTTCCGCATCCCCGCGCGTCTTTTCCGCGTTTCCGCGTCTTTGCGCGTATTTTCCGCGTCTTTTCCGCATTTCCGCGTCTTTGCGCGTATTTTCCGCATCTTTTCTGCATTTCCGTATCTCCGCACGTCTTTTCCGCGTTT